GCCTCAGCCTCCGGAGTAGCTGGGACTACAGGCGCCCGCCACCTCGCCCAGCTAGTTTTTTGTATTTTTAGTAGAGACGGGGTTTCACCGTGGTCTCGATCTCCTGACCTTGTGATCCGCCCGCCTCGGCCTCCCAAAGTGCTGGGATTACAGGCGTGAGCCACCGCGAATAGCTACTTGTATACACATGTTCGTAACAGCATTGTTCACAACAGATAGCTTCCTAGATAGCTCCCTAAAATGTAGCAGCAACCCAAGTGTCCATCGACAAAGGAATAGATAAAATGTGGTGGATACATAGAATATTATACACCCTAAAAAAGGAAGGAAATTCTGACATATGCTACAATATGGTTGAAACTTGAAGACATTATGCTAAGTGAAATAAGCCAGTTACAAAAAGAAAAATATTGTATGATTCCACTTACATAAGGTAGTTGGGCTAGTCAAATTCACAGAGACAGAAAGTACAATGGTGGTTGCCAGGGCTGGGGATGGGGAGAATGGGGAATTAGTATTTAATGGGTACGGAGTCTCCGCTTTGCAAGATGAGGAGTTACAGAGATGGATGTTGGTGGTGATTTCACAACATTATGAATATATTTAATATCACCAACTGTATACTTAAAATGGTTAAGATGGTAAATTTTATGTTATGCGTATTTTACCACCCCCGCCCCCCCTCCACACACACACAGAAAAAAAATCAGAAAAAGTGATAGTGGCTTACCGAAAATGTCATTGGCTTATCCAAAATGTTTCTCGCTTGTATAAGGTCTGGTTAAGCAGTTTAGTATGATGCTCTTCGGTATTTGGGATGTGGAAGGTTCTGTGTGGCCTTCAGGAAGGCAGCATTCATGTTTCTGGCTGCAGGATGGAGGGAGGGATGGAAAATGAGAAGCAAAGGGCACACATACGCCATTGCTTACTAAAGGTATCTGAAAGCTGCCATGCAGACTTAGGCTTCCATCCCATTGGTCAGGACTTTGTCACATGGCCACACCTGGCTGCAGGGAATGCTGGAAAATGTAGTCTCCCTTCTAGGCAGTCCTGTGCTTGCCAAACATCAAGGGCTCAAACTCCTGAAGAAGGCGAGAATGGGCATTTGTGGGTCACCTTATAGGGAACAAGGGGAGGAGTCATTTAGGAAGGAATCTTCTCTCTTCAGGGTTAAAATACCCGCAGAGGGAAACCTTCATTCTGACCAGAATGATTTCTGAAGTCTGTGCTTCCCCAATCCCCATCATTTTCTAGAAGTCCAGAAAGAAATTAACTAGGAGAAAAAAACCAAGTAACAAACAAACAAAAACACCTGCTCCTAGTATTTGTTGCTTTCTTAATCTTGTGAATGTTTAAATTGGGGGAGTTCATTTCTCTATCCAGACAATATAGCATGGTTATCAAAGCACAGTTTTGGTGTCTAACTCAAGTCTCAGGTCTGACTCCACCCTTCTCTTAGTTTGGAGTCCACCAGAAGCCAAGCCTGAGACAGGAATTTGAGGGCAAGTGGCTTCTTTGGAACATGTCCTCGGGGAACACCAGTAGGGGAGTTAAGAGGTGAGACAGGAAGGGAAGACAGCCAGTGTTGAGTGCACTAGCAAGCAAGTTCCCATCATGGGCAACTGGAGCTCCACTTGCTGGGTATAGAACGTGCCTCAGTTGTTCCAGCTGAGCAGAAAAGGAGCTAGGGTACTTGTGCTCCAATTTGCCTCTTTCAGAGTTTGGGGGCTGCTCCCAGAGGCCCTAACTCCTTGGCATGTCCAGCCTGCCCCACCCACTTGCCCAGGGGAGGCTGTCGCTGTGTGGGGAGTGATGCTGCTAGGAGGAGGGCGAAGTGTTGGGAGCATCTGCCTGAGTTTCCTCATCTTTAACGCAGCACTAACAATAACTGCTTTCTTCTAGGGTGATGTAAGGATTAAATGACATAATCTGGAAAAATTGACACATTACATGTGTCAGCAAATAAAATAGTATAGGAAATCCAAGTACGGTCAGGTTAATAGTGGTGTAGATTGTGCAGGGCAGTCTCCCATCTCTGCCACTGCTGCACTTGGGTTTTAGATAGGCCAGGATATAATTCCCTCGTCCTTGGGGTGGCTGGGAATAAGACTGTAGGGGTTGGGGTTGGGGCCTTCAGGCTGGGAGTCTCCTGTTCGGCTAACTGCCCCTGGTTACTCCATGCAGTTTGTAAATGTTACCACTTTCTGATTGGGAGGCAGTTGGCTAGGAAATGCAGCATTCATTAGCTACTACTTTAAAATTAAGACCCTCTCCTTAAAGGAGAGGGCATCGTACCCAGGTTGAATTTAATGCTGATTATGTGATCCATACATATGAAAGCACGGTAGCCACCCAACTCTCACTTACGTGTCCAATTTGCAGGTACGAAAATGAGTGTGAATGTCAACTCCTGCTAAAAGAAATGCTTGAACGGCTTAACAAGGTGAGCGGAACACATCCTTGGGCTTATGTAGCTTAATTACAGTATTGAACGGAATGGTGGAAGTGCATGTTTTACATGCTTCTCTTTGTGTTAGCGGTCACTACTTTAGCGGTCACTACTTCTTTTGCAGTCACTCTCTCTCGACTTGTTAATTTCAACTGCGTCTTTGTGAGTGAACTCACACACCCATACACACACGCCTCTCTCCTGGGAGAAACACAGGCTATGAAGCTTGTTGGCTATGCTAGGCTAGCAAAACCTGCTGGCGTCACAATGACAAGAGGCTGTTTTACCTGTCATACCGATCCCCAACACCGAATTTAGGAAGGACCTTGCTTTGGGCAGTGGTTATTTGGACACAGCGATACCTCTGTCCTGTTGGCTAAGAGTTTTGAGATTGCTGCTCCACAGGAGAAGTCTCAAGAGAACAGAGGAAGAAATTTCTACTTCCCCTAGAGCGCCCTCTTTTAGCATGACCAATAGCCCCAGGGGAGATGCCAGGGGTTCTTAGCCACTTGACTTTCCTGCAGGGTTATGTGGAGTTGTTCTTTGCAGAACAGGGGTGATTTCCTTCTTGGGATTCTTCATCATCATTCTCACTAACTGATTGGATTTTCTGCTTTTGCCAGGAGAATCCCACCACCAGAAAGCAGAATGATTCTGGATCACCAGGGTTGTACAGAACCAGGGATGGCAGATAGCTTTAAGCATGGCCCTTTTCTGATCATTTTTGAGCTCAAATATCACAGCGGAATGATCCATGGAGACTATTTAGTGGAAGGGCTGCTTAATTAGGGCACATGGGCTGCCCTTCCCTACCCCTTCCATGCCTACAACTCATCAAAATTGCTGACAAAACCGCAGACTCTTCCCTGCCATGCCCAGGGAACTCCAGGCAGCCTCTTTGGACAGTCAGGGTTAGCACGGGATGTTTGCCGTCCCTTCACTTTGTCCAGCCTTTGCTGTTTAGGATTACTCTGCTGGTTGAGGGGAAAATCAGAACTAGAATCTAGGGAAACCCAGTTTTGCTTTGTCTATGTTACCTGCCCCTCTGCGTGTGAGCACGTGTAATATGTTCAAACCAGGACAGTGTGCGAAAGAGGGTGCTGTCCGTAATTACACAAGTCAGTCAATGCAGGCTGGGACTGTCTCAGGCCAGCTAGTAGGACACGTGGGCACCCTAGATAAAAACACAGAGATGGCAGTGAGAATGCGCCTCAGGAGGGCCCTGAGGACACATGCTCAATAGTTGGCCTAGAGAACGATGGCCTTGAGCCTGTTGGACGTCTGAGCTGGGAGCTGGGAGCTGGGAGCTGGGCCTTAGTAGTGTCTGACGTAACCCTGCTATTCTGTTGACACCTGTAGATCATCCCCATTCTTCTGTTTGGTGGCAACCTCAGACTGCCAGAACATGGCCTTCAGACACGGGGCCCTAGCATCCTTCACAGCACCCTGCAGGCCCTCCCAGGCCCTCTCCCCAACACTTCCACATGTTGTCTTGTGAGCATCTGTCCTCACTGCATGCAGGGCTTTCTCCTCACTTGTCACTCACGCAGTGCCATCCTGGGTACTCTTCAAATAAAGGGGAGAAAGAATGGGGTTCCTCTTTTATCCTTGATGGAAAATGACAGTGAGTTTAAAAAACAAGCTTAAACTTTCTGTTGTTTTTCTCTTTTTTTACAAAAGCGATCCATATTCTCAGTAGAAAAAATAAAGCAACATAGATAATGAAAAATACAGAAAAAGCATTGCATAGTACACCTTTATGTATATTGTGACATAGAGTGTGGACATTTGAAGTATCAGCCCTGTAAGAATATTATGAAGGTTCTGGGGAAAGATGCTACCAAGAATTTGGGTGACGCCAGCACAGGGAATTGGCATGACTGGCCTCTGGGTCCAGGTAAGACAGTACTGCCCACAAGTGGGCTGCACAGCCCCAACGAGGAGTGTAGCCTGTGATTAGGAACCTCCTGCTACTGCTGAGCATCTGCGAGACTGTGGGCCAATTGCCTTGTCCCTCAGAGCCTCAGCTTCTTCATCTGTGAAATGGAACCAACCACAATACTCCCCACCCACCATAGGAGTGAAAGTCAATGTGCCTAGTGAGAACTAAATGATGTAATAATGTGTATGACTTGCCCATCACCTGGTGGCGCTCAATCCCTGGTCACTGTTATTATTACAGAGCACTTGATGTGATAGACACTAGCTTGATTTTCTCCACAGTGTGGGTGCAGAACCCTGGTGAAATGGGAGGTGACTTTAGAAAGTGCATGGAGGAGTGATATTTAATACTTGTGAATTTTTTAGAATTACCTGTTATTTACAGCAGATGACATGTAGATTTCCAAACAAATCTACGTAAAAATGAGTACATTTAAGGACAAATACAGAGTGAATAAGATGCAGGTAGTCCTTGGATAATAGTAGAATTCATAAACACAGTAGGCAGATGCAGGGAGCTGGGGAGGGCTTTGTGCAAGCCTGTAGGAGCCTCAGAACAGCCTGTGGTTATTGGAGGGGCAGGTTTTATTCTCAGAAATGACCTAGTCCAAATTCTTCTCTGGGCCAGTGAGGAAACTCACCCTTGGTGAGGTGAAATGACTTCAGAGCCTTGCAGCTCAGCCGCAATAAGTGTAGACAGGAGTTGGGGTCTTTTGTGTTTGTGGTTCATTCTCCACCTCCAAAGAATAGTCAGGGAATCGATGTACTCAGAGGCCAGACACGAAGCCAGAGAGTTCTCGGCAATAGGTGGCCCCATGGACCTTGATGTTAGTGTCCTGTCCACATACCCTGGGCCATCCCAGTGGTCACTCAGACATGCTGAACACCCTGATCACTGCCTGCATCTCGGGCTCTGGGAACATACATGGCCCACATGAGTACAGTCCAGAAGCTCTGGGTATTAACACCTCAGGAGCAACCCTCAGCTGCTGTGGACCGGGATAGGTGGATAAGTTCCCCATCCCTCCTAGCGACAGTTCAGAGTCGTGTTCCACATGGTCCCTCAGAGGGACCCCAGCAGGACTGAGCTGTCTACAATGGCAACCTGCTCATCACACTCCTTCATTGGTTCCCTTCCCTGGCTCACTTCCCTCCCTTCCCTGTGCCTCCTGGGATTACCTCCCAGATAAGTCACAGGTACCCAGTCTTTGCCTTGGGGTCCACTTCTGGAGAACCCAAATAGTCCCTCAAGGGCAGGACCAGGTGAACACTGGACCTTTTTGTTCTCTGCTGAGATCATCAGATGACATGAAAGAGCCTAAAACTCACATCGTATCAGCTGGTCCTGTGAGTGGTTTTGGCCTGCAGGTTTTGGGTATTTTCTTACATCAGATCAACGAGGTTTTAGCTCAGTCTCAGTGCCCATTTCCTTTGGTCTCACTTGTGGAAGGGATTCATCCCTGGATGTGGCCATGGGACATCACTGACCCAGTCTTTGCATCCTACTTGGAAGACAGCGCAATGTATGTGAAAGGACTGATGGCCCCTGCCTTCACAAACCCACCATGCTTTTCTTCATGCTGCACATGTAATCAAGCCTACAGAAAGAGCTCCTGTAGTTTTATCAGCCAGATAAGTTATAGCGGGCCACTCTTTGCTATGCACTTGGAAGTGAAATAAACTCCTCAACACGTTACCTACAACCTATGGCCAAAGTTATTCAACTTCTCAGCCTTTTGATGTAGTAGGAATTCCAGGCGACTTTAAAATATTTGGGTTTGCTAACTTCTAGAACTCATGGTCACCAAATATATACATATGAGATTACTGGTCTGCTATGATGCCTGATTGGCTTATCTTAAGGAAATTGTAAGCAGCAGACTTTAAAATCTTCCTCTCTTTTTTCTTTAAAGTTCCCAGAATTTTAAAATGATGTGGCTTCTAGTCAAATGCTTTCACTTAAAAACAATTTTAAAAATATTCAAAGGCTGACATATGCGCTTTTTCATGTAATTCATGTGTCTCTAAAACATGCCTGTGGAAAGCAGCAAGAGGCCAGGGAGTTTAGGGGATAAAATGGTGCGGGCATGGAGCCCTACCTTCAGGGCTGTGCCTTTTTATGTCCAAGAATTCCTCTGAGTCCGGAAATGAACTTCCAGAGAAGGAGATGAAACTGGGAAGGAAGAGGAGGAGTCTGGGGGTGGAGAGGCAAGAGGAGCAGAGGAAGAGTCAGGATGAATGCAAAGGGAGAGAGAGCAAAGTTGAGGAGACTGAGGCAGAGGCAAGAGAGAGGGTGGAGAGATGTAGAACTTGCCCAGTGCCCTCCTTCAGGCCAGCATTAGCACCTGGAAGAACAACCTTAGCATTTTTGGAAAGGTGTTTGACATCCAGAGTTGGAGGAAAAGTGTTTTTTAATTAAATTCCAGCTAACTAGAAATCTTAATGAACTTAAATACCCATTCTTTAGCAGTTGGGTTTTTTAATGGAGTTTCTGGATCCCTGTGAATAGGTAAGTGAGGCTGGTTTTTTTTTCACCCTTTTTAATCCCAGACATTTGAGTTAAAAAGGGCTGGTTTTCAATAATGCTCCAAATTGTAGTTATTTCTCCAGCTCCTTTCTAAAAACATGGCTGTAAATAGTCTAGATTAGTGGTTCTAAAACTTCAGTGTGCATCAGCGTTACCTGGGGTGCGGCAGGGGTGGGGGGCACATTAAAACCCAGACTCCTGGACCTCAGCCCCAGAAATTCTAAGCCAGTAGGTCTGGCATCTGCTGGAGTATTTACATTTCTGATCCGTTCCCAGGTGTTGTGATCCAGGGACCACATTTTGAGGGCCACTGGTCTAGATCTAGGACACAGGCAATATCAGGGTTGGAATGTTTTGTAAAATTAGACTATTGACCCATAATCTCAATTCAGAAAAATCTAGATGATTCTGCTGGTGAAGCTTCTGAAAATTCAGCTGACAACATCCACAGCATAATAAAAACACAAGCGTCTACACATTTCTGAGTTCTGGCGCAAACAAAAGAAAACACTTCCAAAACAAATTT